ATACCATATTTTGGCTTTATTTGGATTTCATATGCTGCTTTCTGTTCTGAAAAAAAAAAAAAAAAAAAAAAAAAAAAAAAAAAAAAAAAAAAAAGCTTGATTTTAAACAGGCTTTGTTTATTTTAGGAATGTCTTTTTGTTAATTGCTACACTTGGCTCTTTTGACTTTCCTCTCATCTGTGATCATTAAGCGTTTCTCATGTATCATGAGAGCTACCAGCTTTCCAATAACACTCTGTAGAAAAGTTGCTGTTAGGGTTGCTGTAAGTAGAGGAAAAGAGACAAAAGGAAAAAAACTAGTCAGGATTATACAGCAGGCATGTTGTCTTCCCTGTCTGTTTGTATCATTCGAAAGTTTTATTAATCTCTTCAGAATATTCTCTGCAAAATCCCTGAACTGCATAAAACCACAGGAGTCTTAATAAAAACAAGATTTATTAAGAAAGGAGACAGAACACTGGAGAAAAGGACTGTGTAACAGGTCTAACTGAAAAGTTGCTAAAGCTTCCCTTGATTGCTCCCCTTCATGTCATTGCAGCGAGCAGCCTAGCTTGCATCCCCATAAATTTCATCCTCAGATTGAGCTTACCTGTCTCCCCACTGACTGACTTTGGCAAGTAGCAAACCTGGAACTGTTTCGGATATCAGATGTCTTCTTCTGAGGATGCTTTTGCTGTGCCCATTCAGCAGTATTTCCTTGTCCTTCTGTGCCASGTCGGTGTTTGCCCGCACAGCCACGGCACTGATGCTTTTGCATCATCCCTACCATGGGTGCAGTGAGGCAGAGCGAGGGCCACGGAGATGCAGCACCCCAGCCTGACCATTGCCCAGCCTGCAGCATCGCTGGCATCCAGAGATCAGAAATTTAGCCCTCTATCTGAGGTGCTGTCACGGGTGTTAAGTTGATCCCAAGTAGTATTCTTTGCTGCAACTCAACTGTTTAGTCCCCTATTTTCTGCCTAGYTTTACGTTCCTTCAAAGGTGTCCACAAAAGTTATTTCTCATCCTTCATCCTTTTTTTTGAAAAAGCAGAYCGTATTTAAAAGTCTGCCTGCCCTTTTTCCTAAGTTAGTGACCATGACTTTACATATTAAATTGCACTGACTAGAAACATTTGCTTGAATATAATCATAGGTAGAGTTTAAAGAGACAGAGCTTACCTGTAAGCTCTCAGTAAGTGATGCAAATTTCGGCATTTTGCCACTTCCGTGAGTTTAGTTTTGAAAATATGGTGTTCCCTCCAATTGTCACTATGCATTTGAACAGTGACCTTATTAAAAAATAATAATAATGAAACTTACACTTTCTCCAAAAGACTTCCCTTAGTAAATCTCGCAAAGCTTGGGAAGAAGCTAAACGGCATCATTCTCCATCACATTAGCCAGATAACATTAGCCATTGCATATGAATGATGCACACATGTAGCATCTTAAGAGTAGTGATTTCGCAGTGGGGATGGGAGATGCTCAGTTTGAGCTGGTGTTGAGAGTGAGAAGAAGCAGAGCATGCTCTGTGGAAATCTGCTCTCTCCTAAGCTTAGGTCTGCCAGGGAATTATCACATTTGGGCGTCTCTTCATGTGTGTAGCGAAACGGAAGCCCCAAGGATCTTACTGTTTTAATTCTAGAGGTTCTTAGTTAAATGGTAGGGGGAAAAAAAGCTTTTTGTATCTATGATATCAACAAATTTTAAAAATCAAGTCTAAATGGCTGGAATGTTTACTCTTACAGTAAACATTTTTAGGCAACTAGTTGAAAAGTTGTAGGTCCTAGATTGTGTCTTTTAGAAGGAACTTCCAAATGTTTCAGGAGCAGATTCAGTGTGTGTAACATGTTCCAGACCGTGCCTTACCTTGTGCACAATCCTGGGTTTTCTTATGCTTTCTGGTTTCATTGTGTTGCTTTGTGCTTATAAACACTCCTAAACTACCTGTATCACCTCTTCTATAAGCATTTCTTAAGGTTGTTTCATTATATTTCAATGTAATCATTCATTATATTTCAAGAAATCATTATATTTCAATACATTTAGTTATTTTACAATTTCAGTGCTTTCAGGAAGATAGARAAGGTATACAAGGCAATATATGTAATAACAAAGGTATTTATACATTAAATAAGTTACTTTTATAGATGGTCACATAATTATCCAGTAAATCTCAGTCAGAATGGTTGTSGGTTTTAGTTAAAAGTGGTAAGGCTGGATGCTTTACACACACAATTTTCTACTGCTTTCTCTACTGCTTTACTRCTGTATTGTACAGGTCACTAATGAGTCATTATCTATTGCTAATCTCCTGAGAATATTGGTTTAATTATATAGGAATCATAAGTAGACTTATTTACAATGCAGGTAGTGGTATCCTTGATGTATTGTGGCTTTAAAGATTCTTCTTTTTTTCTTTTTTTTTTTTGTAGGTTTTAAATGCTAAGTATGCCTGATAAAATATGAATTATTGTATTATTGCCTGTGATAAAAAGTATACTATTGTGAGCTTCACAGTCTGCAGGTGTAACAGATGTAAGGCAAGATTAACAGGACAGAACAATAATTAAACCACAGACAGCCATCTCAAAAAAAAGAAAAAAAAAAGAAAAAAGAAAGGTTTATCTTGTCCAATGTGATTATTAATCGTCTTTAATTCTCAGCAAATATTTGTAAAAGCAATAAAAATGTGTTAGTTTGTAAGGCAGCATTTCAATACAGACCGTTACTTTAAGGAATTAAGATACCTTTTTATGAATGTAAAAGCTGACTGAAGTCCTGCCATATGGCAGCGTGGTTCATAGGCAATAGGGTCCTTGGTTTATAGATGCTGTGAGCTAAATGCTGCTGGAAAAAAACAGGAGAACAGTTGATACGTATGCATTTACAACAGTATGAATTGCTTACTCCCTTTAGGACAAGAAGGTTCAAATAATTAACGTTAATATTATGGTTGCAAAAGGAAGTCCAGTTGTTCTTCTGCAGTCTACATCTGTGAAACATGCTACCTCTGGGGACCGAGATTTAATTTTCCCAGGAGAAAATATAAAAGCAGGAGAAAAAAAAAAAGGAATGACTTCTGCTTGAGCAGAATAAACCTGCATCTACAAACGATTAACGCTGCATAATGAAGTAGTAAAGGAGCAAAAGAGATTTCTAATAAAAGACTAATAACAAATCCCATTATGCCACRGTGTATTTTTCCCTCTTGAAGTGTATTAGAGTTTTAGTAAGGCTTCTGAATGAGATTTTTTCAGTTGCAAGTAAAGTGAGCTGCAGTGCTTCCAGCTTTGCTGAGCTTTCCCTCCTAACAGTTTGTGTAACATGCAGGCTGTGGCTTTACAGGTGGGAGGGGTTGTTAATGCAAGTAATAGGCTTCCTGCGGCGATGCAGTCGTGTTTGTGTCACCATAGGATAATAGTCTCCTGAAGGCAAGGCTCTGTAGGGTAATGTGCCACTATACAGTAAAACACCKCGCGTAGAAGGCGGAATATTCTGACCCTTATAATTATGGTGCTAAAGGAAAACATTGCACACCTCTAAGAACATGGGGATAAGAAGATATTTCAAAATGACTTATTTTCACTTGCGATTTGGGACACACGTGGCAGGGAAAAAGAGCCTGTGCAGTGGTCTTTAAATCTGTAGTATGGATTTTTTGTGGATAATACAGTACTAGTGGTGGTAGGATAAAGCTTTCAGAGAACAAAACTTGGATAGATAAAATGGTACCTTTGGCTTTGTTTTGTAGAAAGAATCTTTCTGCACAAACTGCTACTATCTTAAAAGCACGTGTGTTGGAATTCATTTGTGCAGAGATGGACTTGTAGTGCTAGAGTCAGTAAAGAAAATGTATACTGAGTTCTTGTACAAAAGTGGTTAAATGTGAATTCTTGAAAGAAGAATTCTTGATGAAATTTCTAGTTGCTTTTTTAGATATTTTTGTGACTTTTAACTCTAAGCTTTAAAGAACAACTTAATCTGCTTAACAGAAATTTGCAATCAATCTTTTCTTGCCATTGAATAAAAAGATTCCACAGGGGTAGTAATTCGCATATCCCAGCTAAAAATGTAATTCATTATTTTGTAATCCATTTTGTTGTAACTATTTCGTGATTAACATTGCTAACTGTACTTTAGCACTTTCAAATGTAATATTAGCTAGTCCTTGTTACCTTAAAAGATATAAAGTTTGTGGTACCGTTCTGGATTAGGAAAATGGAAGCAACTTTAACTCAGTAGTAAAACCACTGTAAGAGCTGGCGGAATTTAGAAATCTCGAGAAATTATTTTCTCCTTTTACTGTATCCCAGGCTTACAATCTCAAACAAATATTGCACATAATAAGAGAAATTTCYGATGTTTTGCTAAGTATAAAAACAGCTCGAATCTAAATAAGGATTCGTTATGTATTCTACATAGCAGATCATCACTAAATCTGATAAATTTTTATATTATATTTTATCAAAACAGCATTCATAGTGTATTTTATATGGACCTGCAAACATTCTTGTCAGCAAAGGGAAGAAACCTTTATAAAGTAAGTGTGAGCCATCCCATTTTGACAGCTAGCTGGTATATGCCTCCAAACTGGCTTTCATTTGCGTGGGCTTTTCCAGGGTTCTCATAAAGCCCGGAGTTCATCCCGGTTGCTTTTCCAGGCTGCTCTCACGTAACATCTGCCGCTTGCATCTTAGAGCAGTATCACATGAAATGCTTTTAAAGGTRGCATACAGCACTGATGCCTGCTTGGCCCCGTGAGGTTCACCCACCTAATAATGTTGGTCAGTTCAGGTTTCCAGAGTCTCTAACATTATCACKTCCTTTAATGTATATAACATTTGTACAAATTCAGTTAGTGAGTTGGTTATCATAGACTTTCACACTTCTTGGCAATTTCCAGTATAAATGTTCGGCTTGTAGCTGATCCTGTGATACGTATTTTGACGTTATTTTATTTGGAAAAATACATACATGAAAATCATGCCTTTTTTTCTGTTTTGTTTTGTTTTCCAGGCGCTGGGTCAGGCTCCTGTTTGGACGAGAATTCCCACTTCAGGACCTTCTAGTTGTCTGGGATGCTCTGTTTGCTGACAGTATCACCCTGAACTTAGTTGACTACATTTTTGTAGCCATGTTGTTATATATTAGGGATGCCCGTAAGTATCGACTATCTTATAATCTTTTTAAAAAGAATCCAAGCTTATTTTTCAAAGAAAAGGAGGGCCTAAGAAATTCTAAATTTTGTTGTGGTTTTTCTAAAATACTGAAAAACAAATGCCATGAGAGGAGCTATTTGTTATTGGACCTGGTCTGCAATATTTATGAAACAAATTCTGTTTTGGGGTTAAACTCAKTTTTTTTTTCATAGTAGTTCTCTGTTTCTGTGCGGAATTGCAGATTTTGTATGCATTTGGTGATACAGGTATGTGCAGAGCTCCATCTTCTGACAAAGACGATGAATTGAGTGAAGTCTCTCTAACAGTGGGAGTATTTTTTGTGCTATTTTGATGTGAAAAATGTTAAAATGTACAAGACTGACTTGTAATTTTCCAAGACACATTTTCACAGGTCTATGCATGCAGAGACGAGTAGCAAATATAAAGTTTATATTTATTCTATGCAAGAGGGATATCTTTAAAAAAATCATTTTATTTTAGTACGCCTGAAGTCTGTGCAAAGGTGAATTCTTATGGACTAATGACAGAAAAAAATRATAAATTGAGAGAAATAAATAATCACATACACACACACACACACAAAAAAAGATAGCATATATGATTGTGAATGGGATAGAAAAGATATGTAATGACTGATTAAGAAGCATTGATTTCTGGACCAACATATTTTTCAAATAATTCTGTATGCAAGCTTGCTACAAAAGCAAGTGTGCCTTTTGCAACAAGATGTGTGTCTGTCATTAAATATATGAATTCTGTAGCATGCTGTTCAGAGTTAATTTTATACAATCTGTAAACTTTAGCTTATAACAGGGTCACGTATTTGACACAATTTTGTGTTCTAGGACACGTGAAGTTTTCATCTATGGTTCTTATTTTAGGAACCAACCTTGAAAACATACCACGCACGTACTTTACACATATTATCATTCTACTGCCTGCCATAGAACTTCATGTGTTTTTTAAATTACTTTTTAATAAGCCTACAGCGTGTAAGGACCTTGCATTTCTTTCGAATAAGTGGATATTTAATTCAGTTTAGAGATTTCAAATTAATGTTTCCATTTCAGGATAATCTGATTCCAAATTGTCCTATTCTCTAATCTCAATCTGTTTTATGTGCAGTAAGATGAAATATTTAAAAAAAAWTTGATATAGATATGTAGTACAGACCAACGTAAAATATTTCTTAACACAATTATTTTTTGTTATCATTTCCATTTAAAGAATGAATTTTAGAAATTTGTTTGTAAGCACACAGCTGTGCCTCTCCTGATGGAAAGAAGTTTGTTTTTTCATTTTGTTCTATGGTATGGTGCTCACGTACAAACATCAGTACAAAGTAACTAAGAATGAGCAAAGTGTATGTTTTAGGCATCTATATGAAATCAGTCCCTTTTTTCCTCTAAACTCCCAGGTTTAGTAAAATAACTTTAGCTAGATGTAATTAGTTGCTGTAAACTTAACAGGATGATGAAACAAAATACCCAATCATAAATACTTTAAAATTGAAAGTGTTCTCAAATTCGTGCTTGGACTATAGAGACTTTCACATTTCTTAATTTGAGAAAAGAGATATTTTCTTGCATATCTGTGACAAACATTTTTCTCCTGTTTTTATATTGTTGGTAATATTGAACTTTAATTAGAAACAAACAAAAAAAAAWCATCCCATATCTTCATGAGTAGCAAATTCCTTTGCAATATTTTTAAAAGGTTTTCAAATAAAATAAGTTTATAAAGACTTCTCGTTATTCAATGGCAGGAAATGCTAACYCAGAACACTGAATGAGTTTAATCATCTGTAAATAAACCATCTGGAAAGTTTCACTTTAAAACCTTTGAGTTTAAAAACTTTGGTACAGAGGGAATAATAATAGAATTCCTATGATAGTATGTTATAAAAATGTCAAGCATAAGAAATGATAATAATGTAATACTGAAAAGCATCTGAGAGTTTCTAAGAGATAGAGATTATTTTTATTCCAACGTGTTTGGGAGGAAGGTTCTGTGTTTTGGAATTGCTGGCTTTTTTGGGTGCTTTGTTCTTCTCAGGGGCATGTTTTAAAAAAGAATATATTTTTTCAGCTCTATTTTTCACTTTGTTTTTATTTATTTTTTAAATTTTCTSTTACTCAAGATACAAGTTATTTGGTGGTGAAGGGAACATTTAAGCTGTTAGGTAATTGTCAGTTCACAAAACACATGGTTGAAACGACCTGTTTATTTTAGACAYGGCAAAACAAACCTAGGAGACCTGTCTATATTTTGCATGAGATTATTGCACTAAGAGCTAATACTGACTGAAGAGTGTTTGAGCAGGTATATGTACACTTTGTACATATACTCAAGTAAGTATGTATRCTGTAGGTACTGTTTCCAATAATGGCAATTATTAGGATATATTTCTTCTTACAAAAAGGTTCTCTGAAGATTTTGGGGAATATAGAGGAGTCAAAGCACCTACTCAGAAGAGGTGATTTATATTTTTGTTGCATACAGTGTGCTCAACTCAACCAAGTGCCTGCACTGCAATGCATAAAGTAGCAGGGGCAAGTAGTCCCAACGTTCCTGRGTACAGAACTGGCCATGTCAAATATCATGCACTGAAGAAATGACTGGTGGCAGGAAAAAAGGACTTGGCCGGGGGTTGGCACCATTAGTTTTGCAAGTTAGATTTTTGCAAACTGATACACAGCAGAGAAGGACAGGTACCCAGGCTGCAAGCTTCTTACCAGGTAGCTGGYCACAGCATTAGATAATTCTGAGCACTGACCTGGGGCAGCATCCAACGACTGCTGAGACTGGAGAAATTTGCAACACACAGAATCTCCTTATAGGAACTTTATCCTACAGTCGATTCTTAGAAATCCTTTTAACACCAATATGCATATTCCAGAAAGGCATGTTTGTTTTGTTTCACTACCATTTTCTGGATCATTTTTAAGGCTGCTCAGTTGTATAATATCATGCATTTTATCCTAAAGAGACAAGAAGAGCTTAATCTTAAGACAAGATACCCAGAAGCRTTTCTGCAGCTTAATTCCTCTAACCCAAAAGTCCACAGCGAATCGTAYGCTGAAAAAAATATTCTTTTGTATAAAGATTTCCACAGAAAAAGAGAAAAATCTAAAGATGAAATGAATATAAAGGCCTGCCTCATTAAAATTAGCATGACTATATATATATATATTTTTTATACCCAACTTTCTTCTAAAGGATGCACTTAAAAATATAACTCCTAGGGAGCAAAGGTGCATGGGTCATTACCCAGCTTTTTTTTTTTTTTTTTTTGTCCAGTTATTCAGTTGCATCAGTATTATACATTTTTAAAAATTAATGATTATAGTAAAAATGTCATGGTTGAAAATACCAGTTTTGTCAATGATCTGATATACACCATTAAAAAAATAGCATTTTTGATATTTGCCTTTCTCTGTATCTATAGGAGAGCAAAAAACTTATCTTCCAGCAGAAATRGGGAATAACTTTAATCTATTTTACTTTGCAATTAGAACACAGTCTTTGTTCAAAAGGGAAATGTGCTGGTCTTAATGCCTATACTTGATAAAAATGTTTAGAATTTGCTATCCATTTTCTGTATTTTTATTTGCTTTTGTGAAAAAGGTGTCCTAATCCTAACAGCAGTTCACTATCTTAAATTCAATTTACGTTTGAGAATTTGATTGACTCTGTAATATGTGGGACTCACCCTGTGCTTGTCTCAAAAAACTCTGACTGAGACCATTGTGCTGTGTTCATTATGCCAGCTCTTTGACTTCAGGAAGAAAAAACAGGTACCTGAATATGAACAAGAAAAACAAAGGATGGGAAAAGAACAGGCAGAACAGATAAAGAATGAGAGGGATAAGTGAGTGCTTTACAAATGAAAGCAGATGTATGAAATTACAAGCTGTCGGATCAGCAACGGAAATGAAGATGATAAAGTGGTTCCCTACACAGATTATAATTATTCATTTTGCCCAGTCCTGCATTTTTCCCCACAATCCTCTTGTTAGGTGAAGAAAGGTATAAGAGAATATGAGGTTTATTCACATGAAAGAAAAAAGTAAAACATTTCAGTCCTTATGCACACAAAAAGACCATTTATTTTGTCTTCCTTCAAAATGATTTTATCTGTTTGCAAGCATCTTTGCTGAAGCAAAGGACTGATGAATTTAAAGTATTTGTTGATACACCTAAAGCCCTAAGAGCAGTAAAGTTTCTTTTAAAATTATTTGCAAATACTATTGTTGGAGGCTGTCTTTTTGTTGCACAGTGGAAGCATCCCTAATAGGCAGTGCTTTGACAGCTGTGGCAGATGGATTGCCTGGATTTAGATGGCGCTAAAGAAATGAAGTAGTTTACATAGACCTGCCTGAAAAGATGTCTTTAATAATTGCACTCATAATTAGATTGATTCAAAAAAAGAAAAAAAAAAGGAAAAGAAAGATGACAATGGCAAAAGCTTTCATAGGAGTTTTTATATTTACATAAATTTTAAAAAATCAAGCACAATATGATTATAAAAAAGGGTGGCTTCAGACAGAGAGTACCGTAGATTTCTTGTATTAGTATGAGGTTTTAATAAAGTTAATTTTGTATTGAAGTGTTTAAAATTTAAAAGCTATGGAAGTTGAGCATTGTTCTTTTTCCCTTAATGTTTCTTAAATAGATAGAAGCATTGATGGAAGTATTCAGAAAAATGTCTTAGTAAATGTCTTAAAGGAAAGAGACTTTGAGCTTCCTTTCAGATTATAATTTACAGAAAGAAAACAGAGATATTGACATGAGTTTATATGTATATRCATAGATTCTTTCACTTTGAGCACTGCTAGAGTTCTAGGAGACTCTCTGTGCCTGATGTGGAAGAAGGCAGCTGAACCTGAGCTATAATGAATGAATCTATGTAAAAAGATCCTATTTTGGAAGTTCAGAATGTTGTGGTGATATTTCACTATTTCACACTTTTCTTCATTTCTGTTTTAGTGATTTCAAGTAATTATCAGACCTGTTTGGGACTTCTGATGCATTATCCACCAATTGAAGATGTTCACTCCCTTATTCTTAGAGCACTTTTTCTCCGAGATCCAAAGGTGAGGTCTTTACTTTGTAAGCAATGCGAATAAAGTAAATAAATCTCTGTAATAAAATGTTGCAAACTGCCTACGTCTTGGGAACTAAATTGACATTTCAAGTTTCCTCTTTTTTGGCAAACATTTTAAACAAAAAACTTATCAAACAAGAGTAGAATATATACTTCTTTATTCTTAAAAGTGTATATACCAACACGGTGCTAAACTACTCTGGAACTTCAGGTAACTGCTTGACAAGTGTTTATGCTCCTTAGTTCTTGCTTGTTTTTTTCTGCACATTCAAAAGTTTATTTTTGAGGGAAACAGTCATATTTTACATAAAGATCCAGTCAGCTGTGCAGCAACTGTCATGCAGCCCCTTCTGTAGAATCCTTTTCATCAGATTTCTGCAGATCGATCTTTAGGAGACTATAAGGAGACTAATCCTTAAAGCATTAGTCATATCCAGTACATTATAGTTAAGTGATAGTTTTCGTTTATAAATGAAAATCTACAGTTCCAGCCTGAGAAGACTCACGTAAGTAAAATTCAGATATTCATAAATTTTATGTTAAATATTGCTAACCATTATGCACGATATATATAATGCAAAAAACAATCATGTGAAACTCCTGCTGTTTTWGAGTGTGTATATGCAGGTCAGGTTCACTGTTATACAGGTGAACCTATCCAACACAGTATGTTGGCTAAAGTGTCTGAGATAAAGCTGTACASATTAACCTTCTCAGTATTCAGATCTTTAGCAATAGCAGAATTTGTGCTGTGAGTTTCGAGCTGTCTTTGAGGGTGTCCACTTAGCAGGCTGCCAGTGCGCAGTCTGATCTCGCTCATCTTCCTAATGCAAGTCACCTTTGAAAGTGAAAACTCCGCACTTCTGCACTCTGACTGCCTTCTGCAAAATTTCTTTCAATAGCAATGCCTACCCTTTATGGTTTAAGAAAAAGAAAAAGAAATCTCTTTGTTTCTATATCAGTTTTGTGCAGAAATTTGCATCCTTACAGCTGCTTTCTTCATTCCTCTCGGGCACAAAGATTTCTTTCATGATGAGTAGTAAAACATATCGTCTTTTCAATGCATAAGAAAGTTTGTATTGTTAGATCTCAGGAATTATTCTTAGGATTTAGGCAGTAGTCTATGAAATCAAACTACCCAGCTTTTATGTTTATGTACATTCTTAGCAAAACAAGATAGGAATATTTTTTAGAAGGAAAGTATAGAGGAAGGGAAAATGTGCAAGATAACAAACTAAATCCAAAACATAATCTGTGGTTTAATGAAGGAATGTGTTAAAAGGTAGAATTTAATAATAATTACGCATTATCCAGCTGTTCTCCAAAGCATCCTAGRCTGTATACAAGTCATCCTACCAACAGAAAGGGGCAAAAATAAACCACCAAATGATTTCCTGTGAAGGAAGTTTGTTCACTCCTCTGTTCAGATGGCTTTATTGTCACTGAGGGAGTAAAGTTGCCTGCTTATAAGACCGTAGTGTCTTATTAATTAAAATGCTCAGATACCCCTTGAACACCTTTCAGAGAAGTGCTGGCTGTAGTTCTTACAGTATCATCCAAGTAGCTCTCCCTTCAGTCAGGTGAATGAGTACTAAAAGCTCTTTTGTGCAAAGTCTGCTAGTTGTTTTTAACATTTTAAATATGATTAAAAAATAAATGATCTCCTGGTCTGAAAAAGAAGTATATTTTCAATGTTGTGACTTTCAGGTTGTTAGCTTTCCCCAAGTATGATTTTAAGTTTCATTTATGTGTCTTTAAGTATATATTGGTTTAAAATAACATATTCTTGAAATAGGAGTCCATCTACTGTGGCTTGTTGTTCTGTGTGATATATGACCTTCATATAAAATCTTTTGAGTCTGACAAATTTTTCATTTTGTGGAATGAAAGAGAAGATTCAACAAGGTATAGGCTGTTATAGGATTCTAAAATCAGTATAAAGACTATATAACAGTATCAGAAAAAATAGGATACCTTTTTTTTTTTTCAATCTGCATGAAGGTAATTCAGTTTGCCTCTACTTCCTGAGACTGGAAGAGACAAGGAGATTTTAGTCAAAAGGGTAACTTGGAATTGATGATTAAAAAATCAGTGCTGAAAGATTTTTCTTCCTCCTTTGTTGTTTTCCTGTGCATTTCTCCATCACTAGCATCTAATTCCTAATGGGACATGAAATTTGCTTCATTGCAACTCACATCTCTTGGGCCAGAGCTGACCTGTTGTGCATGGCATTTCTTCCAAGACTCTGCAAGGTTTTAATGTGTGAAGTCATGGAACTCTTTTCTGTGGGAGATTGTTGCATGGTCCAGTAGCTTGTTTCATCACTTTGTTGAGCATAACAAAAATGGTTAGTGTCCATCRAGATTTCTGAGAGATGCTAGCTCTCCATCTCTCAGAGCTTGAAATCTCAGACAGACAGAAAATGCAGTTTAGAAATCATGGACAGGAACAAAGGGGAAATGGCCTTTTAAAGCTTTATCAATATACATTTTCTTCCTGATTATTTTTACAGATAGATAAATGTCAAATAGTCTCACTAGTTTATTGGGTCTAGTTGTCTRTAACAGTCTATAGTCTGTAACAGTTATACCATAAGTTATGAATTAGTTGTTGGACCTAATATGGCCTTTTCTTCTATAACTTTTCATTTCAGAGATACTTTGAGTTTTCACTTCTAATATCATGTGTTATTTCTTCTTCTATTTCCTTCTTCCATCATAACAGATATCTTCTTTCTTATTTGTTATGTCAAATAATAGGTGAATTAAACTTTGGCTTAGTGAACCTCTCAGTTTTTGTTTGCTGTGTTTCACTGTTATCATTATGGGAAAGCAGCTCATATGTCAAAAGAAAACTATACTTAAAGGACAGGTGAATTGCTTTTCCTTCTAGAAGGACAAGTTTTCTGACCTGATTGTAGACTCAAACACAAGCCTTATCATTGTCTAATAATAATATGAAGGGTAACTATTGCTCACCATTAAGCTAAAGCAGCAGATTTTCTTTCGCCAGGGTAGATCCCAGAGAGACATTTTAGATTTCACATCCCTAATATGTGCCCTCAAAGAGAAATACGGAGCCTGTAATAGCTGAAGACAAATGAATGCACCTGGCTATGACAGAGGGCTGCAGAAATATTAATTTTTCAGGCATGAATATGGATCAGTATAGCATAATTGAATTTAAGGCTTTTCTGAATTTGCCCAGCTCCCATTGTTATGAAAATGTAGAATGAAAACCTCAAATTTGAAGGAAAAAAAAGTCATTATCTTTGAATAGGGAGATACTCTTAAACTGCTTGGGAAAGTATTGGTTTCTCATTTCTACTCTTCCAACAGATACTTTCTTAAATTATTTGTATAAAATTTGCCTCTCTGCACTTGCAGTCCTTCTAAATAGAAAGGTAGAGCTTGATATGAAAAGATAGAGCATAAAAAGTGTGAATCTGCATAATGACCGAGTAAGGCAATGATTTTTCTGCATACCCAAATGCACTGATTGTAGGTGTGTCTCTGAATTTAATATGCCACGAGTGGCAAATTTTCTTCATTTTTTTTACTTATCAAAACCACTCTTCACTGTTAATTTTCAAAGCAAAATCTGTGAAATTAAGAAGTAGAGATATGGAGGGAGGGCAGTGGAAAAATAGGAAGTGATTAAAAAAACATAGTTCTAACTAGAGTTGTTCAAATAAAAAAAAATTAAAAAACCCAATTAGAAACAAAAGTCATAGAAAATGTGAACATATTGTGTTCCTTAAATAACCAGATGTTCTTTCCCTCCTGAAGGCAGCCAGGGCTAGGAATAAAAGGTTTAAAACTATTGTTTTAAGTTAACTGTGAATTCTGCAAATCTGTTTTCACCCTTTAGCAAATAAAATTCTAATACAGCAACATAAGCAAAGTAATTTTCATCTTTGGGTCTTCTTGTCTGTGTGTTGCGCGTTGAAGTGTTAACCTTATCTCAATGACTTATTATGAAAACTAAAGCACCACATAGACTACTACTATGGCGTACCAAGAACCTGGCGGCCATCCTTTGTCTGAGAGTCTACTATATTTATTCTTAGTATTTTTTGCAAAATAAGTTTGCATTTGGATGTTTTCACACRGTGAGTTATGTTATTTGCTGAGCAAGCTGGTTGGAAGTTGAATTCCATGGAGACAAGTATGATCATAAGCCATTGTTTAAAAAAAAAATAAGAAAGAAAGGGTATTTGGTCAATGCAAATTAAGCTTTTTAATTCARTTAATAATATTCTAGTTATTGCTGCTGATTTTTTTCACCTCTGTATGTTATTTGATAAAATTGAAAATGGCAAGATAATGGTGTTAAGTTGTAACTACATCCATGCTGATGTACACCCGACATTTCAGAGGCACTACATTAAAGTCAGTCATGACTGAAATGACACAGTTTGCCACAGGAATTGAGCAGTAGGGCCGTGCTTTAAGGTCACGAGCTCTCCTGTAACGATCTGCTGGAGAAATCTGCATCCCGGCTTTCAGCGCTTCTCGCAGCGTGTGGCGAGGGCAGGGAGATTCCAGTGAGATTGCGGGCCAAGCCGCTCGTGTGGGTGTTTGGAGCCAAAMCCCCTCCTGCCGGGGCTGCCACCCGCAGCCAGTTGACCAGGCCACAAATGCTCTTTAGTCGCATTTTCCTCCCGTGAAGCGACAGCCCCTGCCCGGCCCTGTCGTGAGAGGGGCCATTGCAGAGCAGCCTCTGMAAGCTGCACTGCTGTGTGGCTGCATTGCCTTCATCAGGTGCATTGCTGCATGCAGTCTGCCATTAACTGCCTCACTTTAATGAGCACGGTGCAGCATGGTGAAGCCGTATTTTTATGTGGGGCARTTCCACATTAAGTAATTTCTTAGGGTGTCTTGGGTGTATTACAAGCAAGTAAGGGGGATGCTTATGGACCTAGCAGTCATCTAGCCTGGGTATGTCAGTGTGTTGTGAGCATTAAAGGAAGGTTAGCGGAACAAGGGA